CCCCAAAACCCCAAAACCCCAAAACCCCTTAAACTCCTCTAACCCCTCTTCTCCAAACCCAAGCATCCCATTCACATAAAATCCTTCTAAAATCACCAAAACCCCTCCGATCAGTCATTACGCATCCCTCTCTGACTTACTTCCAGTTTAACTGAAGAAGACTGCTGGTTTATAGCCATTAAGGGGCTGAACTTGGGATTGGAGGTTTAGACGTGAAGGCGAAGAATGTGGGAAAGTGGAGATTTTAGGATTGGATTAGCTTGGGGTTACTACAAGCATCTTGCATAAATCATTAATCCTCTCTAAAAATAAACCCTCCGATACCTGCATTTTTCTACCTCTTGTGCTCATAATTAATCCCAACTCCATCCAGCTCATATTGAATAGCTCAGTTAAAAATCTGTGCAAAAAGAGCCTTCTTTTCTTCTAAATACCCTTTCATACTAGAACACATCCCAAATACTACTAAACTTTCTGCCTTAAATACAGATAAACGTTCAAAGTTATACCAATTTTATTCTAGAACAAGAATTGACCCTGAGAGTTCTCCAAAGAAATTGCCAGCAATATGTGGCTTCTTGAGGCCCAGATTTATTCAGGAATATTATTCTTCAAATATTTATTTAAACAACACTAATAAATTCATTCTTGCTTTTAGCTTGCAAAATAATTTTAGTAACTTGGCTAGTATTGTTGGAAGTAGAGTGAAAGCAGTAGATATCCTGCATCATTGGGAAAGGTTATTTACTAAACAGAATGATTGTAATAATTAAAGAAATTCGGTAATATTCACCTCTCTCTTTGATCTTATACTAAGAGTCCTCTCAACTTTATCAAACCAATGCAATTTATGTCCAAAAGTTGATTTCCATTTTTCTATAATTAGTGCTAATTCTGCTTACCTCGATTAAGCAAAGCTTGGTCAAATACTTTCTGAATTTTTGGAGAAGATTCTGGAGAAACTTCATTGTTATCCTCAATAATTCTTTTGTATCTAAAGGTTTCAAGAACATTTACAGCTTTTCAGGGCCTCCTCTTGATTTCAGATTCAGTGATTTCAAAATTGAACGATATCCATTCACAATCTAAAATTAAGGCGGAGTTACCTTTTGCTTTGGCATTGCTTTGTATTTCTCATCAGTTGTCTAAAGATTTTGGAAGAGGTTACTAGATTGTCTTTCTTAACTTCAAACCTTTTTCTGTTCTTTTCGATCCAATTAGTAGCAAAAGAGTTATTATATTCTTTTCAAACGCCTTCGAATATTGATTTCTTTAGTTTTACTCCCTCATCTACACTATTGTGTATCCTGTTGAATGTTTTTAAAGTTTTCTCAGCCTTTGTTGTTTTTATCTTATTGACTAGAGCTTTATTCAGATTGTTTATCTCATATCTCGACCGTTTTCTATCTACATTATGAAAGAAGTAAATTACTTAGATCAGAACCCCTATTTAGTCTGTCCTTAAAATCAATCTTCCATTTATGAATCCTTTATGTGAGACGAGTACCATACTTCGACTTCTTCTTTAACTTTTGATCGATACATTTGATGACTTGCAATTCCTTACTGAACGTCTTTCTTGTAAAATCTTTTATGGTTATGGTAAACCTTACCGTTTTCAACTGCCTCCAAATTAAAGAAGATGTTGTCCTTAAGCATTTTATTCTTTGGCTTGGATGACTCATCCAGCTTTGTATTAATGTTCCTGACTGAATTCAGGTTATAACGTCTATCTCCTCTGCCTGTGCAAGCATAATTAATGTGAGCACTGCTATAGGTCAGAAAGAAAATACATTTCTAAATCTTTGTCAAGACTTGGGTCTTGAATCATCATCTTTGAGTCTGACCTCCCCATCAAGATTTCTTTGGGTCTTATTGGAGCATAAGTGAACTCTTTCACAAGAGACCAATCTTCTGTTTTGATCAATGCATTCTTGAAGCTGTTCTTAGCTGGTGGGGGTTTCTGGTTATTGGTTGTTTTTTCTCTTTTATTTTTATTTGCATTTTGTAATAAGCATTGAAGGGTTCTTCAGGAGTTCTTGAGATTGCTCCTGAACTCTCTTGCGAATGTACTTCTGAGAGATATAGCCTGACTTTTTCCTCAAAATTGGAGGGTTCATACCCAACTTTGGTAGCAAGTCCTTTTCAATTTGATCAGTGTCTTGACTTCTAAAAATTAAAGATAAGGACACCTTGTGCTATTCATAACATAAAGTCCTAGATGCTTATCAAGGTTTTGCTTTGAATTCTCTCGAGTTTTTAGCATTCTGACTGATGCTTCTTGAGGTTTGTACTTGCTTTCAGTATCATAATACATACTAAAAAGTAAGTTTATATCATCTGAAGTGCTTAAATTAGATTCAAGTTTCTGATTCAAAAAGCTGTGATACCTATATCATCTTTAATATTTGCTAAAATTGGTTGAAATAAAGCTCTTGAGCATCTAAAAGTACAAGTATTTGCTGTTAGAGTAATCCCTAATAGAAAGCATACTTTCTTGTCTCACTACTGTGATTAAGCTCTCCTGAGGCATTCTTTGAATATAATTTCTTCTCTGGTTTCATCTGTAGTTAAAATATAGAATGAACTATCATAATTTTTTAGAATAGTCACCCTCAAGACAAAACTTTAAAACTAAAAGGAAGACAGATATCAAACTTGAGTGAGTAAAGTATTTTTAATGCTTCTTTTGAAAAAATAAAGCTTGAAAGAAGAGCTTACATTTCTTTAGTTCAATATTATTATTGAGGTACGGGGTTTTGGGGTTTTGGGGTTTTGGGG